AGAAGGCGGCTGATGAGAGCGAGAGGTGTGATGGGAAGGGACAGCAGGGGTGGCACTGGGTCACCATTGATTGCAGGAGCACCCATGGTTTCACAGTAGTGTCCCTCTGAAGTGAACTTACGAGGTTTGCGTTGGTTTTCCTACAGACCCCAAAGGGAGAGAGCAAAGCCACAATGCAGAGAAGTCCCCCAGATACAGGCATTCCTAAAAAGGCTTTGAAATTTCCAGGGCACCCATAAAATCCTGAAAAAATTGATCTGGTGTTTATGCAAATACCAGGCGGTAACCAAAGCCTGATGCTTGGAGCCTGTTTTCTGCCCCAGAGAAGCTCACTCAAGGGATGAACAGTAGCCCAGGAGGGGATATCTGGAAAGACAGGTCCAGGAAAAACATGGACCTGTTGGAGCAGGTCTAGAGGAGGCCACAACAATGATCAGAGGGCTGGAACAGCTCTGCTGTGAGGACAGGCTGAGAGAGTTGGGGTTGTTCAGCCTGGAGAAGAGAAGGCTCCAGGGAGACCTTATTGCAGCCTTTCAGGACTTAAAGGAGGCCTGTAAGAAAGATGGGACAGACTTTTTAGCAGGGCCTGTTGCAAATAGGACAAGGGGTAATGGTTTTAAACTTAAAGAGAGTGGATTCAGACTAGATGCAAGGAAGAAATTTTTGACAGTGAGGGTGGTGAAACCCTGGCCCAGTTTGCCCAGGGAGGTGGTTGATGCCCCATCCCTGGAAACATTCCAGGTCAGGTTGGACGGGGCTCAGAGCAACCTGCTGTAGTTGAAGATGTCCCTGCTCATGGCAGGGGGGTTGGACGGGATGACCTTAAAGGGTCCCTTCCAACCCAAAGATTCTGTGATTCTATGATCTGTGCCTGGGAAACAAGGTCAGCATTTGAGAACAAACCAGCCTCATTCAAAAAAACAGTCCTGCAAAGTGTGTTGCTCCATCCTTGCAGCAAGCAGGTTTCCTGGGCAGGAGCCATGCAGGTGAGGGCACTCAGGTTGTACGGGAGTGCCCAGACATGTCACAGCATTCCTGACAGTTGCAGGAGTGAGCTCTTCCTTCCATTGGCAAAGACCAGTTTGAGCAACAGCATCTGAGTGAGAGCAGAGTTTGCAGGAGTCCCTGCTGTGGGGGTTGGTGGGGATTCGGCGACCCTCTGTTTGTGAGCATCACTCCTGAATGGGAAAAGGCTTTGACACAGGATGTTTTCTAGTATTTTGTAAAGGTTGCTGGCCTGTCAGGCTGCTTTTGTGGAGGTTGCATCAGTCTCATCCTGGGCTGCACACATTTTCCCCACTAAATGATGGGTTCAGGACCTGCCCGGTTGAGAGGCACCACAGCCACATCTCCTCGCTCTGGAACATGGCCCTGGGGCCAGCTCCACTGCTTTAATTGTGTGCAGGAGCATTCTTGGGGTACCACCAGTATGACCCTACTGTGTGGCCAGTGAGTGCCAGCATGCCCAGGCCGTGTCCCATGTCTGTGGAGTGTAGGTCCTGTCAGCAGCCATGAGGTGCGGGTGCCACCTCAACAGACAGCCATTACATCTTCTGGCTTGGGCTTTCCTCAGAGGCATGAAGGTCATCGAAAACAGGGCCATGAAGGATGAGGAGAAGATGGAGCTCCAGGAAATGCAGCTGAAGGAGGCAAAACACATAGCGGAGGAGGCTGACCGCAAATACGAGGAGGTGCATGCCCACACCCACATGCCCCTTCCCCCAGTCCTGAAGCCCTGGCAGCACCTGGGGCCACCTCCTCCCAGCCCTGTGCCCTGAGCTGGGGAAAGCACAGGGCCGACATGTGCCTCTTGCTGCCGTTGACAGGTTGCCCGCAAGCTGGTCGTCCTTGAGGGAGAGCTGGAGCGCTCAGAGGAGAGGGCAGAGGTGGCAGAGAGGTGAGTGGAGCTCCCAGTGGGCAGGACGCGGGGGTCCCATGCAGCTCTTGCCCCGAATCCCTGGCAGCTGTGGGAACAGGGATGTCTGTGTGGGGACGGGGAGCGGCAGGGTCTGCCATCGGGGTGGTCCATGGGCTTGCAGGCTGGGAGTAGGTGGATGCCAGCCTACCAGCAGCACATCCTTGACGCTGTTCTCTGCTGTCCCCCCCCGGGGTACCCCTCTTCCACCCCAGCCGAGTGAGACAGTTGGAAGAAGAGCTGAGGACCATGGACCAGACTCTCAAATCCCTCATTGCCTCAGAGGAAGAGGTACTGGGGCAGGGGCGCGGGGTGACGCGCAGCAGCCCCCCTCTCTCTGTCGCTGTCTCTCAAACCGTGCGAACCACCTCTCTCCTCTCTGCACCGCTGCCTCCACCACCGACCTCCCCTTGCCTCCCCCTCTGGTGGGGACAGGCTGGGGCACGCTCCTCCATCCCTCCATGCCTGCTCTCCTTCTCGGCGGGGCTGGCGGGAGCCCGGCTGGTGATGATGCACAGGGTGTCCGTGCAAGGAAGCACAAGGAACGGATGAACGGACGCGTCCCGGCAGCTCCTGCTCGCAGTGTCTCCTTCTTCACCTGCACTGAGTTTTCCACTCTCTCAACTTGTTTTCTCTCTTTCTTTCCTCCTTCCCCGCACCTGCTCTTTCTGCTCCCCTCTCTCTCCGGCCCCCCGGCCCTGCTTTCCCTCCTGGTGGCCCCTGCTTGGGATGTAGTAAATGTGGTGACCTAGAGGAGGAGCTGAAAATTGTCACCAACAACTTGAAGTCTCTGGAGGCCCAGGCTGACAAGGTAGGACCCGGCAGGGCGGCTGGGGCGGAGCAAAGTGCCTGAGGTCTGGGGGTGCTAGGGTCTCCTGCTGGGGTGAAGGATGGCCAGAGGCATCTCATGGGGCTCATGGGTGCCTGTCTCTGTCTCCATAGTATTCCACCAAGGAGGACAAGTATGAGGAGGAAATCAAGCTTCTAGGGGAAAAACTGAAGGAGGTAAGGGGTGCGGGGCTGGCACTGCATCGGTGCAGGCACGAGTTTGTCATCCCATGTGGGCTTTCACCCTGTTATGCCCATGTCCTCTTACAGTTCTCCAAATTGCAGCCCCGCAGCATGGCAGGTGCCTGTGTCTGGGATGCTCTTCCATCAGCCTAAAATTAGGGTGTGGGGTGCCATGGGGCCCTCGTCCTTCACCTTTCCCAGCGGAGGGCTCATGGATAAGGGTACCAGAGATGCAGATGGGGCAGATTTGGGGTCTGGGGCAGCCTGCACCATCCCTGTCATGCCCCGCAGCTCACCCACTCCCCACTGTGCTCCTGCAGGCTGAGACCCGGGCGGAGTTTGCAGAGAGGTCTGTGGCAAAGCTGGAGAAAACCATTGATGACCTAGAAGGTAAAATGTCCCTCCAGTTCTGTGTCCCTCTTTCCTGGGGAGCACTGGCCACAGGGTGCCCCTGGTGGGGCTGGACAGAGTTTGGCTGGGGTGAGGTGGTGGGCAGGGGTCCTGGGAGCGGGGAGGCTGGATGCCATGGTGCCTGGTGTGGGAGCGCAGAGCTGCTGGGGTCTAGGCTCTGCCCTCAGGTGGGGAATAGGGCCGCATCCACACTGCCTGTGCCCGCACACGCCTGCCGCCCTTGGCCCCGCTCACAGCCACTCTCTCTCTCTCTGCTGCCTGC